GACAAGTCTGTGGATGCGTTTTGCAGGTGTTTTCAGTCTGTCATCATGTTACACTACGACGACATGCTGTCTTTTGAGGCGGCGGCGGCCTAGTGTGACGATGGGGTCTGGCAACTTCGTCAGTGTCTTCATTGGGGTCATGTCAGTGTCGTGTCGCTCTAGTGTAAAGGCGCCTTTACAGATTTGTAGTGAGCACCTTACTTATCAGAAGAATGATTAATGGCATGGGGACCTAATGGGTGGTTCATTCTCATGACGTATAGTGGGTACCTTGCATATGCTGTGCCGTGATGGCAGAGTGCTCAGGAATGCACTTGTTCTTCACTATCATGAGCGTCAGCACTGACACAAAACTTCGAAGGCGAGATAATGAGCGAGATAGAGTTATGTGAAGACATATACAACATAACAAAATATCAAGCGCAAATCTAGCCTATAACATATATTTAAAATCAATATTAAAGTGCACACCATGCGACTGAGCGAGATGCGGAGCCCCTTGCGACACTGACATCAATGCAGGGAGGATACATAAAACTTGCTGGAGTGGAAGCTGCCTATGCGCCGCTACGGGAGAGAGTGAAGCCGCGCCGAGCCTGCGGTGGCCATGTTGCCAGTGGCAAAAAAGAGCCGAGCGCTGCGAATTCATGCTTCATCATGCTGCGGGTGAAGTGACTCATGTGTTTATAAAGCAACGAAAACAAGTAATTCTGGTTGTAAATGTTTATTACGACTTGTACGCAGCCAAGTGGCATGTCGAGAACTCAATTAAAGTGCATATGCATCAAATAGCGATGCCTAAAGCAAACACATCATCGATAGCATAGGTGCCCTACTGGTGGTTGAAAATTATTGCCTTTGTCAAAAGTGGTCCCACCTTACTTTTAACTGATTCTAGGTTTTTTTTTCCCTTCGTCATGTGTTGTATCCTTACTTTTACGTATTGTTCGACGATTTGCCTGCACAAACTGTAAACCTGATTATCAAGCGTCGCAATTTTTCTTCTTCACCTGCCTCTCTAAAACTACTGATGTATAAGAACTTGGTTAGAAGTAAATTAGAATATGCTGCTTCAGTTTGGGATCCCAGCATGGTTTATCTGATCAAAGCCCTCGAACTGGTCCGAAATAACTCTGCCCGGTTTATCCTACACGATTACGATCGAACAGCAAGCGTTACAGCTATGAAAAACTCGTTGCAGCTGACTTCCCTTTCTTCTCGTCGTAATAGTTTTTTCGACTGTGCCTTTTTCATAAAATCTTCCATAACAGCCCCCACCTTCGTGCTAATCTTTTTCTTTCACCGTCCTACGTGTCCTCTCGCATCGATCATGCGCACAAAGTTGGTATACCGATATGCCAAACAAGAACGTGTTCAGAATCTTTTGTCACACGCACCAGCAAAGACTGGAACCAGCTTCCTGGAGCGACTGCTGCGATTACTGATTATCAGCTGTTTCGCGCTGCACTAACAAACATTGTAAACTGAGGTTACTTATGACGTGTGCCTTTTTCGTTTTTTTTTTATGTTCTTGTGTGTTCTGATGTTTTTTGTAGCTAGAATTGTATACTAGGCTTACTTAAAATATGTACACTAGATCTCTTTTGTTCTGCTTTTGTGTCCTAACTTTGTTATCAGCTAAAATTGATTATTCAGTAAACGTTGAATCCTGTACTCCCCTTTACTCACCTTCTCAATCCATTTTTTGTAAACCCACTCCCCTCTTCAATGCCTCTGGCCCTGAGGGTACAATAAATAAATAAATAAATAAAAGTCTAAGAAGTTCTTCTCTAGTTTATGGAACCAGTTTTTCTCGAAGGAAGCTCATAGAACTTTCAGGATGAGGTGTTTTGCTCTTGACTTCACCGTTGTGATGGAATAACATTCAGCCTGTAGCCGCCTCAGTCCTCGACTTCTTTACAGAGGCTAATGGCATCTCGCAACGGTGAAACAAGACCACCTCGTCTCTTACATTTAATTAAAGGTGTCAGCTCATCTGAGTGCATGGCTGCTATGCACTCTTCACAGGTAGTTGCAGTTCGACCTTTCGAACAATGAAGCTTGCTATGTATGGCACCACGGAACCGACAAAAGGAGAAAAGCTTTCGGGCTAGTCAATGCGATGCGTATTGTCGTGGTCATCGGGCTGCAGGACTGGGGCCTTGCGCATGTCAGTGACATTGCTTCTTGGATCTACCATGGCTGCAGGAGTCGTTGCATTCAACACGGAGAGAACATCTTGAGAGCAGTGTCCAGAACTTGAAGACGTGACTTCCGTCTGAATCAATAAACGCTTGTATGCAGCCATAAACTGCGAAGCTGTTGGGTTATTGCTATGGCCGCCTCACCCACGTATTGATTCAAAGAAGTTTTCGGCATAGACTTGACTGAGTTTGTGTGTCAGTAAGTATTTCAGCTGACCCTGGCTGACGAGTCTGTCAAACATTCTTTCCGTGCTTGCCATGCGTATCCAAAAACCAATGAATCTTTTTTTTTTTCAGTCCTTCTGTCACTGCCGGATCTCTCAGTCCATTTATGTACGCTCGAGTCTCCGCAAAAAAAAAAAAAAAAAACGACTTCCAGAATGCTTCGTTTTCCTGCCAAAGGGGCGCTTTGTTCGACCTTGCCAGCGGGTTCCTGCAGTTTAAGATGTCAAAAAAGAGATCAAAAGTTCTAATAAACGTAGATCTTGTGCTGGCACCCTTGAATTGCGGCAGCTTTAGCTTTTGTTCGCAGAATTCCAAAGCGTCGGCAACTAAGGCACTCTATCAGTTGTATGCACAGCATATCACACCTTCATTTTCTTGCTTTTCCCATTGGACGTGGACTTTCGTAAGTTTGTTTCCGAGCCACAACCCTTCTTCACGTTGAATTGCCTTCAATGCCACTTCATAACCCCATTTCACATGCTTCCCTTCAATGTCATAGAGGTGGCCAAAGCACTCTGGCGCGAAGTGCACAGAGCGAAGTGATCTCAGTCTTTCGCATTCTACTTCTGACGGCGAACGGCCCGCTCCCAGAGGCCCCGCGTTACGGGATCTTTAGGAAACCTGTAAAACAAATCCGGACTATTATGTTTTGCACGCTTAGATCACGTCAGCTATAGCTCCCTTTAGTAACGAGCGTGGAATGGCCATGTCGAAGACGTTTTCGTGTACGTACAGGTGGAATGTGAGGCCACAACATTTTTTCAACCTGTTGGCACATCTGTAAACGACGCAAGAGGCAACCATTGTAAACCATTTGTCTTTACATGCCGACAAGGTGAAACAAGAACGGACGAAATCAGCAGCTCGCCATGGCGCTGAGCACGCTTTTTGCCACTGGCAAGATGGCGGCAGCTGGCTTCACTCGCACAGCGCCCCTTCCACTCCAGCAAGTTTTATGTATCCTCCTTGATGTAAACAAACCTACGTCACGAGATTGTGTTGGCTGGTTGCTGGCAGGTGCCTTGCACTTGTGCAACCCGCGATTTGCGTGCCTGTGGCTTCGCGTGTGCTGGCTGTCAATGCAAGCATACTTGCGTATGCTGTTGCGTACGGCGTCCACATCACAGTTCTGCGTGGTCACTTGCTGACCTGTGTTTACCTTGCCCTCAGAACGGCTCCTGCCTAGCTTGGTGGTGTTTGAAACTGAAACTGGGTGCTCTAAAAATGTATCTACATTAATAACCGTCATGCACTGCCGCGCACGAAGTTTGCAGCCATGATAAGTGAATAATAAGCATCCAATTGCATGAAAAAAGGTGTAAAATTTTTCTGTCAGTGCTCCTTTAAAAGGGCCCTGCAAAACTTTTTCAGCATGGTCAGAAAACGTTGCCGATCGGTTGTAGAGGCTCCCGAGAACACACGAGCCGAATATTATAGTGCAGCATGTGGCCTGGACTTCACAATAAATTATTAAAGTGAGCTAAAAATTGCCTTCTCTTCTCTTGACAAATGACGGAGGAAGCTAAAAAATCACTCGTAAAGGGCCACCTATCAGCCATTGGCTGATTTGAACATGTGTTCTGTCATTACAAGGATCACTGCAAGAGGCCGCCACTTGTGCACACATGCGCGTGCAATCACACTGAAAAGGCTCGCATTCGAAGAAAAAAGAAAAATAAAAATGCTCAAGATCACGAGGTGCGCGTGATCTTTTCTTTGACCATGCCATCCCTTCTTTTTAGCTTTTAGCGTTTTTGTCGGGACGAAAGAAGAGAAAATACGATCGCAGCGTGCAATAAATTTTTGCAACTCCAATCGTACTGCTTGAATTCTTAAAATTTTTGCGGACTTGAATTCGTGAGGCAATGAGCTATTTTAATGAATACATTGTATGGTTACTTAAAAAAAGAGTGTTTCAGGATTTTCTGAGGCACGCTGTATTTTGGAACTCTGAAATAATTGTGACCAGGTACATTATTTTAACAATTCTTACACCCAAGTATACGTGTGTTCTTGTATTTTCCTCTATTAGAGTTTGGCTGCCATGGCCAAGAATTGAACCCACATCTGCAAGCTAGGCAGTACGAATTGCCCACCGTTTTACGATGCATAGCGACTGTGAAGTGGCACCATTGTTATGCATAGAACAGCACTGTATTACTAGGTATGAATCGGCTATAGTATATAACCTTCTACATAATTCTCAGCATGTCTGCAGAACCACATAAAGTGACAGGGTGTGCAAACATGAACACAAGAGGGAAGGCAGGACACCCCCAAACATAAGGATACAAACACAGATGCAAGAAGGAATTCTGGACAGCTCAAACCCTTTTATGGTGTCCCAACTTCCTTTGAGTTGGCACGCTCAGTCTTTTAGAATGAATACATGCCAAGTAGCTCAGACCTCTATTATTCATACTGATTTTGTGCCTAGAGTTGATCATTCTCTCACAAGCTGCGGCGCGTTAACTATTTTTTCTCCATCAACTTGAACAGTGGCTATTCAATAATATGTGCAATTTTTTAAATGATGTGATGTGTTGTAGTAATTGAAATAACAAGACCATGTGGGGTTCCTTAGTAATAATTTATTCAATAAAAAAGAATATAGTACTATGTATATATACTCTTTATATACACAACTCTAAACTTGCAATTTGTTACCACAGAATAGAGATTAATTTGTTGAAAACTGTCAGAAAGCAATGTGCAATCAAACGAGACAGCAAGGTTGGTGAGCTAAGCTTTTCCCACTTTGATATCCTACATGTGGAAAGGGTAAACAGATAACGCAATACCGCTATCTATTTAGTCAGCATAGGAAGACCAGTGATCCCATCTTCCCGGAACTTACAATGTCCTTTGGTGAGGGGGAATGCGTTTCTTCTTGACAGTAGCCAATAACAAGCAAACTAAGTTCGCTTACTCTCAAGAAGTGTGTCATCTGTAAGGTTAGCACCACAAACTAGTGCGCGTACAACAGTCTGTCGGAATGAGCCAAGAAAGGTCCCACTGTCCAACCATCGAAGGGCTTTTGTTGCACACGATGCAGCTCATCTCCACGACCTTTGGCTGAAATGGGCCGGAGCCGATTCGGCTGCTATTCGCTCTTGTGCGGTGGCTGCAACTTCTCACGAATACGACGGTAGTGGTCAATGAGTTCACGCTCTTTTTCCTCAAAGGCCTGGTCCATTCTGGCCAACTTGTCCTTGACGTCTTGCTCAAACTGGTCCCACTCGCACTGTCGCTGCTTTCGCCGTTCTGATAGGTCATCAGCCTTTGTAATAACAGAAAACAATGAAAGAACGTTAGCCATGGTGCCAATGTTTCAACACAACACACCTTTTTCTTCAATGGGTAGCGACACGAAATGTTTTTTTTTATAAAATGAAAGAAAATGCACTGGTAAGCATGAGTGCTCCTTTAAAGATTAATTACATGTTGTTAAGTGCCAGTTTAGGTTTATACCATGCCATGACAACACGGAATGGTATGAGCATCGTCTGGCTCGATGAAACAACGGCTAAGGTGCTTGGCTGCTGACCTGAAGGTCTTGGGTTCAACCGGGCTGTGGCGGTCGCATTTCGTGGAGGCAGAATGATTCAGACATGCGTACTGTCTTGGGCAGTAACTAGTTACTAGTAACTGGTTAGTCTTTTTCTAAATACTTGCAACTTTAACCAGTTACTTTTTTTGCACAGTAATTTCAATGGGAAATGCCGTTACAGTTGCCTTTTTTTATATGTATAAAAAAAATGTTCAAAAGCTATGTTGGTTAAAAGCCTATGTTAAATGCTTTTCACTTATTCAAGATTTTTCTTCACCATGTTCTCTTCTTCTTTCTAGTGTCCACAATGGGGCTGCCTTCGCAGTTAAAAAGATCTTCGGTGCTGACGACTAATGTGGAGTTTGCTTGTTAACTGCACGTCGCAATGCTATCACTCTGCAAATGAACAGTTTCCTAAGCTCACCCCCCCCCCCCCCCCATCTTTTTTTAGATGGGGGAGGGCACATACCATATGTGTTGGCAAAGCGGTGTAAAGGGAGCAGTTGCCCCCCTCAAGCCACTCCCCCACATGCCCTCACCTAAGCTACACCAGTTCTCTCCCTCTCACCCACCTGCAAAGCACACTGCTTTGCACCTCCCAAGAAAACATCCTGCCAATGACCATGGCGGATAATATATGCATAATTTTATTGTCAATTGAAGTTTTAGCACTGTTCTTGGTATGCCATAGGAGTATTCCTTTGTCAGAGGCCTCTAGCTAATGGTGTTTAATAGGTGGCTAACAAAAAGCAATGCAAGAATGCCTAAAAGGGAAAAGGCCATGAACTGGCAAAGAATTAAAAAAAAAACGCTGTATAACTGATTCCGATAGGTAGATCTACTTCGACTTAACCCAACAATTATTTACAAAAAAAAAAAAAAAAAGATTTCACGTCCTATATGCAGATGTAATTCTAAGTGTACCATGGCAAAAAAATAAAAACAGAGCGGACGTCAATCAGTTTATCAGTCACCATGCTTGTGATGCACTGCGGGGTAAGGAAAAAAACCAGAGACGAGAGAGAATGATTTTTGAGCATTTGACGGCAGTTCTAGCACGTGTGGGGATGTTATATGGTATGCGCCCTCCAGGAGATAGATATGGGCCGGCTTATTTGATCTGTGCAATAGCATTGCTCGCGCACTTTTACCTCTTCGTAAAAGCTACAATGCGCAAGGCATGTCATCAATTTGGACTTGTACCGAACATGGTGGCGACGGCAGACCAGCATGAGAGTGTCCATATAATTGCTATTGCAATAATAACGGAGTATTTACTGTTATATAAGTGTTTTGGGTTAGCTCTGCCTTCAGTTCCCCTAATGCTTACTTTGTGCATTTATTTCACAAATTTTCGTTTTTACAAATTTTTCCAGGAATCTGCCAATTTTATTATATCCAGGTTTAACTGTAGACTTATTCAATGTTTGTAAACAGTGGTAGGGCGCTGTTGATATATTTAGGTCTTTTGTAGCGACATCGCGGGGCACTGACTCCTCCCAACTGTCCCAGCTCAAAGCTCCCATGATCACGTGATAAGTGGCGCAGCAGGTGTAAACGCTACCTCTGAGCACCACACGTCGGGGCTGTCAGAGTGCCTTACGCATGTTTACTAGCGGCGGCCGCAACAGAGGAAGTTGCAATGGCTGTAGGAGGAACTCTGAAATGAACACACACACACAAATATATGTATATATATATATATGTGTGTGTGTGTATGTGTGTGTGCAAGAAAGAGACGACGAAAATTTCACGGAAGCGTCTTTACTTAACGTTTTCAGCTCGTGGACCAGCCTTCGTCAGAGTAATGTGACAAGATTACATACATGGCTTTAAAAGCTCGTTTCAATAACAGGTCAGCGCCATCTGCCTTGGTTAGCATTACAATGCACACCATAAAATCTCATGTGCTCCAGAAAAAGAATAACAAAAAAGACAAAAAAGGGAAAACCAGAAGGGCACACAGATACTAAAGACACAGTTGAAGATTCCCTTGGATGTACTGTGACGTGATACCGTGCTTACACGTAGTTAAGAGATGTAGAAGCGCAGTGGTGCAATGACATTGCATGGCAGTATAAGAACAATCTTTGATTGATATGTGGGGTTTAACATCCCAAAACCACCATATGGTTATGAGACATGCCGTAATGGAGGGCTCCGGAAATTTCAATGACCTGGGGTTCTTTAACGTGCACCCAAATCTGAGCACACGGGCCTACAACGTTTCCGCCTCCATCGGAAATGCAGCCGCCGCAGCCGGGATTCGAGCCCGTGACCTGCGGGATAAGAACAATCTTAGTGATATACGAACCTATAATGGAAGCCACTGTGAAATGATTAAAGATAAATTTAGGAAAAAAAAGAAAAAGGGCAGACATAGAAGGCGTGATTTAGGCAGTACAATGTGAAACCAGTGCATCATCGCTCTTAATCTAGTGAAAGACAGGTCAGTTTTCCTTTGTTTTCGTTGATTTCAGTGGAAACAGTGTTAAATTTATGAATGAGATATGATTCGCGTAGTTCACGGTCATGGCTGGTGCGGAATCCAGATTCTAGTATCGTGACTTTGAGGTTACTAAATGAGTGGCCGAGCATGTTCACATGTTTTGATAATGGAAGGTTTGGTTCGGTTTTAGCATGCAATCTGTGATTGTTGAAACGTATTCTGAATGGGGTTTCAGTGTGGCCTATGTATTGCATGTGGCAAGTGCCACACTCAAGCAAATACACTACATTGGATGAACCACAATTAAAGCTGCTCTTAATTGTGAAAATGAATTGGTTAGATGTGCTGGTGGCCGTTAATGATGGTTCTATATGAGGACAAACTTTACAACGGGGTTTGTTGCAGCGGCTACGACCAGTACGGTTAGTGGTAGCAATTTTAGATGACGTCAGGGTGTCATCTATGTTTTTTGAGCGCCTATACACTACTCGAGAGGGCTCAGGAAAGACTGCTTTTAGTCTGTTGCTTTGGGTGAGGATGTTGTAATGGTTACGCAGTATAGCTTGAAATTTGGGGATGCATGCTGAGTGTGTTAGTACCAAATTGGCTGACTGCAGCCCGTTGCATTTTATGCTACCTTTTAAACAATCCACCCGATCGCGTCCTCTGGCTTGGTGTATCACGTCGTGAATAATTTTTTTTCCAGATATTTTCGCTTAAAAAGCTTCTTTTTCAGATCATGGCAGCAGGAATTAAAATCTTGATCTTCAGAGCATATGTGCCTAAAGCGCTGTGCCTGGCTATATGGAATTCCAGTCTTCCAATGGCGCACGTGACTACTTTCAAAATGAAGAAACTGGTGATTATCGGTTGGCTTTTTAAAAAGCTTTGTAATTAGGCGTCCATGGGAAATGATAATCATGACGTCGAGGAAGGCTACAGACAAAAGTGAGAGCTACATGTCAACATGACTATATATTTATATATATAGAGATTAAAGGTAAATAGCCGACCGACCCATTAACGGGAATTCCTTCCTTTACGCACGCCGCCCGCCGACCGACCCATTACGGGGAAACCCCTTTCTTTATGCACGCCGTCACGGACCCTCCCGGCACTGCGGCGACAATCTTGGGTGGCCCGACACACGTCAAGAACTGAACAGCACGTGATATGAACCGTATGTGGATGTAGACGGACAGTTGGCTTCGTTCTCAGTGTTGACAGTGGTTCTTCCTCTTCTTTACTTTCTTTCTTTTTTCTTTCGTCTTTTTCGTCTTTTTTCTCCCCCCCCCCAACATTAATTATTACTCCCACTATATATATATATATATTATATATATATATATATATATATATATATATATATATATATATGAGCCATGTTGACATGTGGCTCTAGCTTTTATAACTTCATCGAAACATGATGTATCGTAACAGTACGAATGTGGCTCATTTGCGAAATGTCACCACGTTGCGACAGTCTACGTCACACGTGTGGGTTTTAATTTGTTCACTAATTCAAGAACAACTGAACCTGTTCATCAAGAGTGTCTATGGTACAATATACAAATATGCGATGTAAAAATATGCAGCTACGAATTGTCACGGTAAATCGTCGCACAAAATGTGCCGGAGAAGTTATTGATGAAAACGACAAGGGCGATCTTGGTGACACTTTCACCCGCAATACGCTTGCGATAATGTTTCAACTGTATATCGTGGACAATGCGGTTGCGTACACGTCAGGTCCGCAGCTCAATGAGTTTGCTCAGGTCAAGGCCATGAAAAGTGCACACATTGTAAACAGATTTCGCAAGTTTCCAGAGTGTTGTTTTTCTGCGAATTTTCACAGACATAGAAACCTCGTGAAACGCACCACAGCCAGGACAGCCCTGCCCAGTACATTTGTGTCAGGTGCATCATTGTAGCCACATATAAGCAGGAACAAAATAGTCAAAGTCATCCTCATTAATTACACTGCTGCTTTAAAGAGCTGCCCCCATGCGGAAACACATGCTCAATGACTGATTGACACCTTCAGTTCATGCGAGTGTAATGAAATCCTTTTGACGCGTCTTAAGACTTCTGCAGTTATATCAAGAATGACAACCACAAAGAATTCTTTGCATATGACAATGTTACCTTCAACGTCGATGTGCTTTGAGGTAAACATGCTCGCTATGCTTTCATACAAGGCCTATCCAAAAAAACTCGGTGCGGCACATTCAATTACAAACGCTTGACAAAGCTAATCATTTTTACAGTGTAAGTCACTCCA